ATTGCCTCTCCTCAATCCTCATTCTTCTTGACCTCTCTGTACCTTTGACACTGTTGATCACCCTTTTCTCCTTGATATTTCCTTCTTTCTAAGTTGTTATCACACTTTCTAGCTCTTCTCCTACCTGACTGCCCCTACTCAGTCTCCTTTGTTGGACCTTCATTTAGTTTGTGTCTGATAATTGTGGATGTCCTCCAAGGCTCTGTCCAGGGTCCTCTTCGTTTCTCTCTATCCTATTTTGCTTGTTGATCTCATTCACTCCCATGTATTCAAATACCATCTCTATGCAGGTGATTCTCAGATCTATTTATCTAACCTTAACCACTTTCCTGACCTCAAGTTTTGCATCTCTAATGGACTATTAGATATCTTAAATATCTTAGATTCACCATGTCGAAAATTGAGCTCATTATCTCTCTCTCCTCCCAGACAGTCCCTCCTTTCTGACTTCCTTATTACTGTGGTAGACACCACAATGCTCTGAGTCACCTAGGCTTGTAACCTTTATGTCATACTCAACTCCTCATTCTTTCTCTCTGCCCCCCCCACATCCAAACTGTTGCCTTTGGAACATTTGTTATATATGCTTCCTTCTCCTCTGACACTGCCACTGCCCTAGTGTATGTCCTCATCACCTCACTCCTGGACTATTGTAATAACCTTAGTCTCCCTGCTTCAAGTATCTCTCTACTCCAATCCATTTTCCACTTAGCTGTAACATGATCTTCCTAAAATATAGGTCTAATCATGTCACTCCCTCACCCACCCTTCACAATCATTCTAAATTCCAGTGGTTCCCTATTACCTCCTGGATAAAATATAAAATACTCTATTTGGCTTGACTTTTAAAACCTTTTATAACCTTGCCCCTTCTTACCTTTCCAGATTTCTTACACTTCACTCCACATATTTTGCGATCCAGTGACAATGGCCTCCTTGCTATTCCTTGAATGACACCCCATCTCATCACTCTGTGCCTTGTCATTGGCTTCCCCTCTTGCCTGAAATGCTGAATCTATTGGTTTCTCACCTGCATGATTCCCTGACTTCTTTCAAATCTTAACTAAAATTCTACCTTCTGCAAAATGTTTTTCCTGAGATTATCTCTAATTTTTGCTGAATATATCTTATTTGTATATAGTTGTATATATGCTGGGAACTCCTTGAGATCAGGGACTATGTTTGGCCTTTCTTTGTATCCCCAGAACTAGGCACAGTGCCTAGCACATACAGTTATCCCTTCCACACCGAGGATGGATCTGGAAAATCCATGTAAAATTTTTTGGCCCTCCCTTCACACCAGAAAAATATTCTGAATTATTATGGGTATCAAAAGATAAACTATGTTGATATTATACAATACCATATTTATATTTATATATTTTATACATTATATATTTATATATTTTATGCATTTCTGTGTTGTCTACTGGCCTTCACATGTTGTCTGCAGCTTCCACAAAACTCCCCCAAAATTCCCATTTTATTTCTTATGCCAACCTGCGATATAATGAAACCCTGATGGGGAAAGTGGCAATGCGGAAGGGATAACTGTAGTAGGTGCTTAATGAATTCTTTCTGACTTGCCTTGACTATCCCAGACATTATATAAAAACCTGGATTTGCAAATTAGATACTGTAGCCATTTTTATTCCCACACTTTGTTCTCAAATCTGATTTATAAACTATATATGTTCCCTAATCATGGTCTTAGTACCATAGGCCAGGTTTCAGCCTCTCTGCTCCACCCAGGAGAAGCAGTAGCAATAGCTTCCCAGCAGGAGGTACACTCTGGAGAAACCTGTACTATAAGGTAAAGGAAGCCAATAACTCAGTTTAAACACATCAAGCAAGTGCCTGCAACTTCTCTGCCTGGAGTCCCCCAGGGAGAGAGAACATCTCTCTAAGCTCACTAATGGCTCTGTATTAGCCAGGCTAGGGAGGAATGCTGGAGGAAGATGATGACACAGAATCCTGGGATGTTCCCTTCTTTGAAGAGGTTGCTCAATCTCCACTTCCCTTCAGCAGACCAGTGATCTTGGGGCCGTTGCTCACAGCTGCAGTTTCCTGGAATTCAATGTCACCAAGAGGAGGAAGAAGTTGGGGCATGGAGAGGGAGGCAGCAGGGTGGTGGAACCACATGGAGTAGTGGGATTTCCAGTGGAGTCAGACAAAGTATGGGGATGAGGAAGGCAGGTGAAACTGGCTTTCAAGAGCTGGTTGTTAAATTTTCAGTGTTAGTGTTTACATTCAGTATTGGCAAATCCTACAAATCACGGCAATATTTATTGTTTTGCTGCTTGTTTAGACACAAGAAATTGATAGAGAAACAATAATAATGCAGTCTAAACTTAAAAGCAGGTTGTGAGTACATTTTTCTTTTGTGTTTTTTTTTAGGAGAGTCAACTATTACATATTTACCAGCACACCATTGTCAGTCTCCTCCCAAGCAGAAAAGCCCAAATTCCTTTGACCGACACTCTAAAGTGCTCACTTTTCTGGGTACTCTTTAATCTACTATGTCTGCTGCTCTACATATTCCCAAACACTGATTCAGTTGCTTTTTTAGAAAATAGTTAGTTCTCTCAAATAGGCCAATGTCTTTTAAGCTGTAATTTTGTGTAGTGGAGGTAGTATTTCAGTGGTTAGAGTGCTGAGCTTCAATTCAAGAACACCTGGGCTTAAAACCAGCTTCTGACCTAAGTCACTTAACCTCTAAGTGCTTCAGGTAACTCCCCGTTTAGTAAGTTACAGATGGAAATCATTGATCACTTGCATGAAGATATGGAATTCTTTTTTTTTTTTTTGCTGTATACGTATAGCAGCTGACCTTGGAGCCAGGGAGACCTGGGATCAAGTCCTTCCTCTGACCCACAGTGCCCCAGGCAACTCCTTAAGACTACAAGTTGCAGAGAAAGTACTAACCTCCACTGGTAAAGGAAGTAGCTCACTAGGAGCTCCTTATACTAATGAAATTATGAGTCTAGTCTCTATACTTACATGTGATTTTCCTTTCAGTGATCAAATTATATAAGAGAGCAGTCTAGATTGAGACCAATATAGTTTGGCCAAAAAACCAAAATTTATTACCTAGTGGTCAACACTCTGTTTATGAACCTCCTCAAAATGGTCATCCTTGCATAAGACACATAGTCAAGCTCAATAGACACAGTCAGGCTCAACAGACATACAATAAGGCTTAGATTCCTTTGGCATAACTTGCAGCATCAACTTCACACCACCATAAGTCCATGGAAGACTTCTGTGAAGGAACAAAGACCTAAGTACACAATGGCAAACTATAGGGTTCAAATTTTGGTCCTGGAAAGTGGATGGCGAAACATCCCACTTCTTATGGAAAATTAGGAGACTACAAGTGTGGAATGTTGCATATCCTGTCAGATTATAGCTGTGTCATCAGGTTTTGTACAACTGTTTTTCTTGGTTACTGGGGAGAGTTCTAAGGGTGGTTGGGTACATTCAGAAAAAGACTATCTCAAGAAACAAAAGACATCAACAAAACAGAAAGAAAGAAAAAGAGAAAGAAAGAAAGAAAAAAGAAAGAAAGGAAGAAAGAAAAAAGAAAGGAAGAAAGAAAGAAAGAAAGAAAGAAAGAAAGAAAGAAAGAAAGAAAG